GGTTTGTGCAGCTCCAGGCTTTAATGCCTTTGGGCACCAGGAACATGGGAGGATCTCACCAGGGTGGTGTACCCTGAGGAGCTGCAGGGACAAAACCACTTTAGGTCCTGGCGCGTTAGGAGGCAGTGGTGAGGAGTGCAGTGCTCTGACCTGCCTTATGGCAGTAAGTGACAAAACTCCTGTTATCCGAGGATCCCGCAGCACCTGTTGGACCGGTTGTGTTTCCCCTGAGCCCACCCTGATGCATGCAAGAGGCTTGTCGGTTCCTCACTGGCAATATAACCCGAACCCCAGTCTCCTGCCTCTCCCTCCCGCTCGCTGTGTGAGCTTGGGAGTCCTTCGTCTCCCCTCCAGTCTGAAATGGGGAGGTTGCCTGCCCGAAAGGCCAGCCCAGTTCTTGGGAAGCGCTGGATCCTCTGGAAGATCCTGTGGAAGTTGACTCCAGGAGCATCTGCTCTCAGCGGCTTGATGCCGTGGGCTCCCATAGCAGGGTGCAGGAGCTGTGCTGTCCCAGTGTGGCTGACAATTCCCCACTTCATTTGCTCTTGTAGCCCAGCCCTGGTGAGATGAGCCTCTTTGGCTGGTTTTCAGCTTGATGTTCGGCCTCACGTAGTCAGCAAGGCCCTGCCGTGATGTGAACATGACTGAGTTTGGTTGGCATGGAGTGGGGCCTCCCCCAGCTGGCACTCTGCTCCAGCCCACCCCGGGGCCAGTGACCCTCTCAGGGTGTGCCTTGCCACCTCTATGCCTGCGTGGGTGGAGCAGGAGTGAGGGGACAGGACAAACTTCCTGTGGACAGCACAGACCTGCCTTTGAGGTGCTCTGTGTTCAATGGCCGTGGTGCCCCAGACCTGCGGGAGGCTGTCCATTGGAGAAGCTTTGGCCACACCTGCTTACACCTTTGGAAGCTCTTGGGCTTTGCCTTCCTGCAGAGGTGACTTGGGCATTGTGCCCATCTTGGGGCCCATGCATGCTTGTGCACATGGTTGTAATGCAGGGCACAGTGCCTTGGGCCGTGTGGGACAGACCCCTGGTGAGCCAAACTCACCAGCTGCTACAGCAGTTGGTTTGTGATGTGGGCACGTACCAGTGCTGCTTGTCCTTCCCTGTCCCCTCAGCCCCCTACCCCCTCAGGGGTATGCAAGGCCTCCTGTAATTCTCAGAGGGAGTAGCAGGTTAATAGCTCAGCAAACAGCATTGTGGGCCATGCCCCTAGGAGCCTCACATGGACGCAGCACCTTGGGTGCTGTTTTGCATTATCCCCATCCTGGCCCTGCTGGTGGGAGTGCTGGCAGGCAGCCTCCTCATGGGGACCCTCCATGGTGGGTCCCAGCCATGTCCTGGGAGGCTCCTGGCTCATCCCGGAGCTGTTTGAGTAGCGGCTCCCAGCACATTCACGAGGGATCAGCCCATGCCTCTCGCAGGGCTGCAGGGAGCGGTTGGCTGTCAGGTTGCAGAGCCTGTTCTCTACGCAGCATAGAGCTGTCTCCACGCTCCCCTCACCCTGCTCACCAGAGGCAGTTCCAAGAGGGCCAGCCACAGGCTGGAGGGAGTGGGCCAGGGGAGCACCTCGTCCCCATTCTGAGCTGAGAGGCCTCGGCTGGAGGGAGAGCTCGGTGGGATCCCCTTGTTCTACTGGATCCCCAGCGTGCTGAATGGTCCGTCAGCTCCTCACCTGCAGGCAGCGTTTGGCCAGGGGGAAGCAGAGCCCTGGGGTCTGGCCTGCCCTCCAGCCTGAGCCAGGGCTGCATCACACCAGGGTTAAAGATCAATGGGATCCACCTCTAGCCAGGTGCCCTGCCCCGCTCCTTTGGTGCATTGGCAAGGGCCACACCACGGGGGTTTTGTGGGCCAGACGTCTCCTGGACGAAGCTCACAGCCTCGTGATGACCACGCAGGTCCCGTGGGTGGGTGGTTGTGCTCGGGGGAGGGTGACCTGGCTGGGAAGGCACAGGCTTTCCACTGCCTTCTGGGCATTGTCGCTGCCTGATGCAGGTCTCACCCTTGCAGGCCATGGTCAGAGGCTCCTGCAGGTCAGGCTCAAAGGTCACAGACTACAGGTCCCTGTTGGCCCGAGTCCTGCATCTGCAGTGGTAATGTGCATTGCCTGGCACCGTGTCTTGTAGGCACGTCCCTGCCACGGCCTGGCCACCGCTCAGTGTCCCTGCTGGAGTCTGTGGCAGCTCTGCTGAGTGAGACCCTAGCAGAGAAGCTGCTTTGGGGATTGGACCGTGACCACAGTTTGTCCTGTGCCAGTAGCATGGTGTTGTGGAGAGCAGTAGCTCAAAGTCATGCCTGGGCTAGGTTTGGACCAGGACCAGACCCAGGACTGAAGGGCAGAGGTTTTAGCATCCCAGGTTGCAGAGCTGGCCCCAGCATATCACCCTAGTGAGACCACCCCCACTCCCCTCTCCAGAGTCTTAAACCTACTCCGTGTCCTAGCACCTCATCCCTAAGGATTGCGCACAGAGCTTGGGGTCTGGTCAGGTACAGCCTGCTTCGTCTGACCTGTATGGCTCTCCTTCTGGGCCTTGCTCCTCCGTGTACCCTTGGCTGGCTGGTACAGTGAGAGTTGGGACTCCTGGGTTCTCTTCCCGCATCTGCCATGACTTGACTTACACCGTGGGCATGTAACATCAGGATCCCACTCCATGCTGCAAGCTGAGAGCTCAGCTCATCAGCCACAGGCCTGTGCCCAGCTGCTTGCAACACTCTCAAAGGCACCAGGAACTATGAGGTGGGGCTCTCTGCTGACCCCAAAGCAGCCAGCTCACAGCAGGCAGAGGCAGAGCCAAAAATAGCCAGTGCCTCCACCTCTTCGACTATGCCGGCTGCTGGCCTGACATGTCTTTCTGAGGGAGGCCTTACTTCCCCCTGAGCGCTCCCTGCCACGGAGCTGTGAGTCGCAGGCTCTGCCCCCGCTCCATCTCTGCAGCTGCTGGGGCTCTCCTGCATGGCCCAGAGAGGTGGAGTGCTCCAGCAAGTGGGCGGCACACTGCTTGGAGAGCGCAGCACACCTGGCACCCAGGGAACCTAAGGAAGCAGACGGCGGAGAGAGGCGTGTGGTCCTGGGCACTGCAGGTGCTACGCACAGTAGAGATCTCTGCTGCCTGCAGCCATAGCTCCTGGGGCTCCCACCCCGCTGGCCCTCCGTGCTGAGAGCTTGGGCGGTTGCCATGCCTATGAACAGCAGGTTATCCAGGAGGCTGCCTGTGGCGATCCAGCTCCCTGCCTGAGCAGGTGTTCTGGCTCTTCTCTGGTGGTTGGGCCATGGCTCTGATCCCTGAGGGTCACTTACACCTGTGGTCTTGCTTGTCCGTGCAGTGGGTCCGTAAGCCCAGCTTTGCATCACACAGCTTTCCTGTGGTTTCCCTTTCAGCCTCTGTTCCCGCATCTGGTCCTGGATTGCTGTGGTGTTGGCATGCACCGCAGGCTGCTGCCACGTTTCACCCCAGGGGTGTCTGCTTTCAGAGTAGACCCACATGGCTTGGTTTCTCTTGGGGCAGGTTAGCGAGAGTTTAGCACAACGTACCATAAAGGCAGACCAAGACATCTGCCTCCCTGTCACAGAAACTCTCCCCCAGTGAATCATCCCATTGGAAAGGGCAGCTGTGCTTGGGGAGCTGGCCTTTCTGCACAGTGGGTGTTGGGAGTCTCTTCCCTGCTGGTCCCAATTGCAGGCTCTGACTGGTCTTTCCTCCTCCAGTTTGTTCTGAAGAACTATGGGGAGAACCCAGAGAGCTACAATGAGGAACTGAAGAAGCTGGAGCTGCTCCGGCAGGTGAGCATGTGGCTGGCCTTGCCTGTGCTGTAGTGGGGACCGGCCCTGTGGCAGGCCAGAGCTCAGGCCAGTTAACAGCTGGAGCCACACTCAAGTGGGAGCCAGGGCAGGCTGTGCACCAGGGGCACCAGTGGCAGGGTAATACTCCCCTCTGTTCCTTCAAGGGAGCTGGTTTCAGGCCAAGCCACGTGCCTACAACAGTCCTTCCCAATATGGATGGTGGGAAGGCTTTGAGCCCAGCTGGCAAGAATCAAAACCACTGTGAGCTCTCACCAGAACGGTGCCTGCCTTGGCAGCCCCACAAGTCAGAGTCATGGGGCCTGAGCTTTCCTTCATGTCTGGCTTGTGACCCACGTGGGGGCCAAGGTAGGAGCTAGCACCTCACTTCTGTGGATAAAAAGCCACCTGGTCTCGGGCACTTTTCTGCATAGCCAGAGACAGACAGGACTCTTGTGGGTTGGGAGATGGATCCTGGCAGTAGTGCCAATACCCAGCCACAGTGCCAGGGGCCTGGGCTGCAAAGACGGACTGGAAAGGCCAGAGGCGGGAACATCAGTGCTGCCCATAGTGTGACTCCAGCTGTGGACTCCCTCTGTGGATCATGCTTATGCAGAGCTGTGAGGATTTGCTAGCCTAGCAGCCAAGCCCAGCCATTAGCATCACTTCAGGCCCCGCACCCTGGCTTCTGGCTGGTCCGACATAGAAAGAGCAGCCGGAGTCCCTGGCACTTTGAGCTGTCATCTGTGTGTGCAGTTTGAGGATGTATAGCACCAGCAAAATTTTAAATCCCCTGCGGACACCTTGGGCTCCCTGCTGGGCAGGATACAAGAGTACCTGCCTCTCAGTGAAATGCAGAGCCCTAGGGTGTGTGTCTGCCTCCCAACACGTGCTTGCTTTCCTCAAAATAGGATCATGGGAGCATAGAAAAGCAGGGCTGGCAGGGGCCCCATGCTCAGCTCCCTGCAGTCATCCCTGGCCAAACCATCCTAGACAACCTACTTTTACAAACTTCCAGCAAGAGAGACTACCCCACCCTCAGAGTCAGAAAGCTCTTCCTAATACCCACCCAAAACCTCCCTGGCTGCAACTTAAGACTGTTATTGCTTGTTCTGTCCCCTGCAACCATGGAGACCAGCCCACCTTCATCCCCTTCACAACAACCCCTTTCATATTGAAAAGCAGTTATCTGGTTGTCCCCACTCCCCCAGTCTTCCCCCCACTCCAAACTAAATCTTCCCGGTTCTCCTAACTGTCTCAAGGGTCTCATTTCCTAGGCCTCTAATCATTGGACTTCCCAGTCTGCCTACATCTTTCCTGAAGTGTGGGGCCCACAAAGCAGAGCTCGAGGGGAGGCCTCACCAGTGCCAAATAGTGGTAGAATCACTTCCCTTGATTTGCAAGTGATGCTCCTGTTAAAAGCCAAAAGCTGGGTTGCTATTTTTCCATCAAGAGCATGCTGTTGCCTCTAATTCAGTGTCTAGAGCTCCACCCAGCTTGATGAGCTCAGATCAGAGACCCACTGTGCTTTACGCTGCTAAGGAACAAGGAGAGAGTCTCTATCCCAAGGCACTAGCAGCCGCTCCTTGCTCATCACCAGAGAGGACCACTCTGGGAGTCGCCTTTGCCTTGGCACCAAGCAAAGTCCCTTTGAGAGGCACTGCTGTTGGGAGTACCAGTTGCCCCTCCCCTGGGAGCATCGCTCACCCCTGTCTGTAAGCACCGGACCTTTCTCTCATGCCTCCTACCCTCCGCTCTCTCCCCAGAACGCAGTAAATGTGCCCCGGGACTTCGAGGGTTGCAGCATCCTGCGAAAGTACTTTGGGCAGCTCCACTACCTGCAGAGCCGCATCCCCATGGGGGCTGAGCAGGAGGCGGCTGTGCCCATCACCTGGTAAGGCTGTGCTGTGCTCCCCTCCACTCCCCTTCGCATGATGGCAGGTCTGCGTCCAGCTGTCTGCCTGCCCTAGGGGAGCTCAGGAGCCCTTTCCCAGCATGTCCCAACTGCAGGAGTAGGGCAGGTGAAGGAGGGACTCCTGTGGACTCCAGGGGCATGCTGTGAGCCAAGCGGCTTTGTCCCTTGTCTGTTTCCTTGTGGATTCAGGCCCTTCCTAAACTGCTGGAACATCCTACTCTCCAACCTGCAGCTCTCCCACCCTGGTTATTGGGTGACCTGCCCTCTGACCAGCTCACCCCTCTCAGCCCTGTCCCTACCCTGCCTTGCAGGTCTTCTCCGCACCTCCACCCCTGCTCTTTCTCTCTGTGTTCCTTCCCACAAACTCCTGGAAGACCGATTCAGGCTCAACTTTAGGAAAAACTTCTTCACAGTGAGGATGTCCAGACTGCAATAAGATCCCTCCAGAGGTGGTGCAGTCACCTACCCTGGATATCTTCAAGGGGAGACTAGATGGTCACCTTGCTGGGGTCATAGTTTCTAGGGTCGGAAGGGACCTAAGCAGATCATCTAGTCCGACCCCCTGCCATGGCAGGAAAGAGTACTGGGGTCAAACGACCCCAGTAAGGTGGTCATCCAACCTCCTTCTAAAAACCCCCAGGGTGGGAGCCTGCACCACCTCACTTGGAAGCTGATTCCAGACCCTAGCCGCCCTGACCATGAAGTAGCGCCTCCTGATGTCCAACTTAA